ATTGTACCAAAGCCGTGTATTTACTATATATTTATAGGTACAGATTTGAGTACATTCCATATAAACATCCTTTGATATAGCAGTTTTACAGTAAAGACTTCCCAAAGATAATCCTATTGCTGTGCTGGACATATGGCAGAATTGGTGCTTTTATCATTATTACTATCAATCTGCTTTGCTGGTAATTTATGAGAATTGGCAACAGAAATGGAAGGTTGCTGTCTAACATCCCCCCGCAAGCGAATAGGGAGGTCACAAACCATAAGCTTGTCCTTCAACAGTTGAAACCGAAAGGATGTGAGTCCTTTTGTGAAAATGTCACCTACTTGATCCACTGAAGAGATATACTGTATGCAAACATCACCATTTACTACCTTTTCTCTGATGAAATGGAAATCCACCTCAATATGTTTTGTACGAGCATGATAAACGGGATTGGCGGCGAGTGCAATGGCACTTTGATTATCACACCAAATGGTTGGAGGTGAAGTAAGTGGAATGTTCAAGTCTTTTAGTAACATGCGANCTCAAACAATATTTGCCTCCTCTCCAATACGATTTCGGTGCTTAAAGGGTCTCGCGGCAAACTGTTTGAAGGATTGATCAAGCCTTGTAGAGAATTTATACTCAAGCACTTGCATGATTCTCCAAAACTTTAAGAACACGAATGAGGAATTTTGAATATGGAAGAAGAAAAAATTGATTTCTTTATTTGTGGAATGAATGATAATCATCACAATGATCTCACGTGTTTTTTTTACATGTTTTTCATTTTTTGTACCGATCATCTTATCGCCTATTTATAGGCCTTGATCAATGCCCCACGAATTGGTACCAAAACTTATGGAAGAGTTGTAAGATACCCTCCAACAGCCGCCAAAATTGAAGCCAAAAAACTGCCCACTGCCGTTCTGGCGCAGGGGCACCTCATGGTAACGGAGGGACGCTACTATTCTTGGGTTAATGGCGCGGGGGCGCCTACTAGGGCACGGGGACGCCTATTCCATTTTTCATTCCAATTTCGATTTTTGATTTTGAACAACATTTACAACAGAGGGTAGTACCTATAGGGAACCATTTCTTTTAAGATTCAATGCATTATTTGCAGAACTTTCAGACAGAATTGTGCATGAAAGTGTGTTGTACGGGACGTTTGCTCGAGGGCACAAAATTTTAGATGCATATTTTGTGTACGTATGAGATTACTTTCTTGAAGCAGTTGCCCCCTGAACTCACTTGCTAAGGTTGAAAATCAGTCATTGGAGTTGCAAATTACATTCAAAATGTGCTGGGACATTCGGGTTTTGTGTACCAATTTGACTAGAAAGGACAATAATACTATGATAGCTGGAACTGATGGCAGTGTCCAAGCCAAAGAAGGATAAGTACGAAGATAAAAATTGTTAAACAATCCAAAAAAATAAAGAAAAAATAGAGGAGACTAGGGTTTCATTAATTCTACATAATGCAATTGAATATAAAAAAATAATTTAACCTAAATACAAAGAGACGGTATATATGCTAAACAAAGAAAACTGAAAAGACAATTTTACCCTTAATAAATAATAAAACAAAATAACCCTTTATTTTTTAACAAAAATAAGTAATTAAGTCCAATGACTCTGAAAAAAGAGCAAATTGTTTTGAATTTACCGAGGGGGTATCCCCAATGAAAAAATGTAGTAGTTGATATGTATATTGTTTTTGTTTTTTAAATATGTAATTTGAAATATATTGTAAGAATATAACTGACAGTAGTTTTTTTTTTCTCAATTAAAACCAGGCATGTGATATATTATATTAACAACAAAATGTTAAGTACAACATTGGAGGGTGTTGGATCTAACCTTCAAAGAAAGGAAAGCAACATGGAGCTTGTTGACCTCGAAAAATGGCTTTGACACGTGGCCAACAGAAAATGTCTTCAAGTTAACTCTTCCTATACACGTGACACGTCGTTAGTCACTCATGGCCTTTCTCATAGGGGTTGGGAGGGCCGTAAGCACTCCGACGGTCAAGTCAGTTTGAAGTTCAACTGGAGAAGAGTTCATCGAAACGGTGGAACACTCGCTGAGACGTGGTTGACAAAGTGTGTATCGAAAAATAATAATAATAATCGAGAGAAGAAAATACTTAATTGCACAATGTAGTGATAGTTTGGTAAGTGTTGGATCCGAATCCTTATTCAGACATAAGGAGAGAATATTTATACTGGAGATGGGAAGAGTAGAGTCGTTGGACGGGGAGACACGTGTTGCCAGATCTTCAAGGCTCGTCCCATCCTAGGTGTCAATCCGTCCCTCCATAGGTTGGCTGGCATTGAATGTACCTGACAAAAGTAGTTGATTTGACCGTTTGGATCCTGCCGCACGTCCAATCAGTCAGTGATCTGACTTAGGAAAGATCTTTGCACAAGACATCTTTAAAGGGACGAGGCGAGGCGAGGCAGGAAGGGCGTTGCAGCATTGTGGAAGCGAAGTACGGGCCTTTGCATCCGCAGTATACGTGCGGATGAAACCGGTTCGTTTGCTGACGCCTATTCAGTTCGTTCTTATGGGATCACTTCGGCATATCCAATTACCTCGTCCGCTACATGGTATGGTGTGGGCCACCTCTGATGATACGCAGAGGGCGAGGTGGCAGGTCTAACTCAGGCCCGTAACAATAGTCTCACAATTCAATGTATGGATATTTATATAGTACAAAGACTTAATTTCAGTGTCGAGTTGGTACGTACGGGGACGAGTACCAGAGGTAGATAGTCGAAGTGATACGGACTGGAAACTCGATGAGGTGTTGTGGAAACACCAGATTCTATTCTAGCCGAAGTGATGTGGGTTGGCAACTCTGGAGCTGTTGCAATGCGAAGTAGTTGCGGCCGAAGTGTTGGAAGTTGGCAACTCAAGCAAGAGTTGCAGCAACATCAGATTTTGCTTTGGCCGAAGTGATGTAGGTTGGTAACTCTGTAGAGCGCTGTTGCAATGTCAAGTTGTGATGGCCGAAGCGATATAGGTTGGCAACTCTGTCGAGAGCTGTTGCAAAGCTAAGTTGTGGTGGCCGAGGCGATATAGGTTGGCAACTCTGTCGAGAGCTGTTGCAACGTTAGGCTGTGGTGGCCAAAGCGATATAGGTTGGCAACTCTATGGAGAGCTGTTGCAACGCTAAGCTGCGGTGGCGAAAATGATATAGGTTGGCAACTCTGTGGAGAGCTGTTGCAAAGCTAAGCTGTGGTAGCCGAAGCGATATAGGTTGACAACTCTGTGGAGAGCTGTTGCAATGCTAAGCTGTGGTGGTCGAAATGATATAGGTTGGCAACTATGTCGAGAGCTGTTGCAACGCTAAGCTGTAGTGGCCGAAGGGATATAGGTTCTGAAGTAATGCGCTCTGAAGGGACAGCTTTGGGTTTTGTGTCAATGATTTGAAGGCTTTCGCGTCTTCCCAATATAATCATGGGGGGTGTTTGCTGGCTTCCAAGGCATGCCCCCTTTGCCATAAATGATAATGATGGCGATGGTTTTCGTTCTTCTAGGCGACGTGATTCGGTCGTGCGTGTTTCTCAATGCTTCATTAAGACTGTTGATTCAAATGACCCTTGGCATTAACGGAGATCCCTGTGCCTCAACTTTTTGGATGGTCCAGATGAGATTTGGGTGATCCAACGGCTGGGGCGAGTTTGGAGTGCCTATAAGAGGTCCATCCCCTCATTTTGAAACTTTTTACTTTTGCGAAAATCTCTAAAGAATCCTTGCATTCCCTACGTTCGTGCTTCCTTCTCCGACCATCACTCAGAACTCCGACGACTGATCTTGGAAACTCTGGCAACTGTTGAACTAGGTAACAAAGCTCAAATTCAGTTTCCTCATCTTTTTTCTTTAGATTCTATCACAAATCTCTGTATGGTGAGCGAGCAGTCTGTTAGTACCTCTGTTGACCTCGAAAAATGGCTCTAACACGTGGCAAACAGAAAATATCTTCAAGTCAACTCTTCCTGTACACAGGTACATCGTTAGTCAGTCTGGCCTTTGCCAGAGGGGTTGGGAGCGATCGCAAGCATTCCGACGGTCAAGTCAGTTTGAAGTTCAACCAAAGAAGAGTTCGCCGGTGGTGAACACTAGTCGGGAAGTGGTTGACAAGGTGTGTATCGAAAAATAATAATAATTGAGGGAAGAGAATACTTAATTTCACGATGTAGTGATAGTTTGGTGAGTGTTGGATCCGAATCCTTCTTCAGACATAAGGAGGGAATATTTATACCGAAGATGGGAAGAGGAGAGTCATTGGATAGGAAGACAAGTGTTGCAAGATCTTCAAGGCTCGTCCCATCCTAGGTGTCAATCCGTCCCTCCATAGGTTGGTTGGCACTAAATGTTCCTGACAAAAGTATTTGATTTGACCGTTTGGGTCCTGCCGCACATCCAATCAGTCAGTGATCTGATTTAGGAAAGATCTTTGCACAAGAGATCTTTGAAGGGGCGAGGTGAGGCAGGAGGGACGTTGCAGCGTTGTGGAAGAGGAGTGCGGGCCTTTGCATCCGTGGTATATGTGCGGATGAGTCCGATTTGTTTGCTGACGCCTATTTAGTTCGATCTTATAATATCACTTCGTCATATCCAATTGCCTCGTCCCATGAGCAATCACCTCGTCCGCCACGTGGTATGGTGGGGGCCACCTCTGATAACGCACGGAGGGCGAGGTTGCGGGTCTGCCTCAGGCCCATAACAGAGCTTATCCAGCTGAAAGACATGCAGTATAACGAATTAAGAAGCAATAATGGTGAACAAAATTCGATTTTGGTGGTATTTGGCCAACTTTCAAACCAAATCATTTAAAGCGGTTTGAAATTCTTTTGAAGCCAAACTAAACTATTTTTTGCTGTTTGATTCGGTTTCAAACCAGATTTCACCAAACAAAATAAAATTAGCACATTTTAAACAAGTTAAAACATAAATATTAATATCAATACAAGCCAACAAGCCAGGGTTCAATATTTTCATTTCTAATCATAATGCACCGCATCTGATGAGGAGACTATCTTCTTCAGGCCAGTGGGGAGGGCTCAGCATATAAGGATTCAACATTGATAATTCATCATATTCCAATTCCAGTGATGACTCAAAATAATTAATTTGACATGGTTGAGTCCAGAAATTTCCTTCCACGACTGAATCCCAACAAGTGGTATCATGTGCTACACTATTAGCATTATTGAGGGATGACACCGAATTTTCCAATTCTCGAAGACATGAAGAATCGGCCTTAACAACGTCCTTTGATGTGGATTCCTTTTGAATCATCGGGAGTGGGCTGATTTGATAAGGTTGTTCTTCTTTCTGTGATACTTCAGACGTTGAGGAAGTTTTACGGGACTCCTTTGTGATCATCCCGGTTTCAGCTGCATTTCTTTTGTTCCTCTTCTTTATATGCGAATGCCAATAGTTTTTTATTTCGTTGTCTGTTCTTCCTGGAACCTTAGATGCTATGGCTGACCACCTTTATTTACAATCACAATATATATATTGCATTAGCTTACAGTTTATAACAACAAAAGCAAATGTTAATTGTGTGATACTTAAAATTGAGGATTATTATTTCGCACCTGTTTCCAAGTTTGGCGTGAAGTTGGATGATAAGATCTTCTTCCTCTTTGCTGTAGTTTCCCCTTTTCACTCCAGGCTTGAGGTAATTCACCCACCGTAGTCTGCAACTTTTTCNGCATGAAAATTATCAATGAAAGTGAATTTTTTTTTTTAACCTTTGTATCTAGAATTTTTTTCAATTGCAAAAAAAAAAAAAAAAGAAAAAAAAACCTGATGTAATTAAATAAATGAAAATATGTAGTTAGAAAATTGGTTGATGAAATATATCAGGGTTTCCCTTCTCTTAATTACAGCAATTTCGGTTGAAGGAAATTTTCATGGAATTGTCAACAGGTTTCTTTTAATTGTACTAGATCAGTTTTCTGGGAAAGGAGGATGGAGTGCAGTTCTTACCTGCATATTTAGGCATCTGTCGCCAATTCCAGACACCATATCTCTGAATATAGGCTCTTAATTTGTTATCTTCTTCTTCACTCCAGGCACCTTTCTTCATTCCATTAGAGTCAACCATACAGGGCCTCATCAGTTTCTCTCTAAGCTCTTTTTTTTATTGCTGTTTCTATACTATAGCTGATGCTTGAGATATGTTCACTCTTTTTATATACCATACAAGGTTACATAATCTATTTTTTATGATGTTTTCAAGTGTGAACAACCTACGAAATTGGTTTCTGGTATATAAAATGCTGTGTAATATAATGTGATGTCTAATTAGACACGTGAAATAGATTAGATATATAGTTGAACAAAACGAAGGGACAAGGAGCTTTCTTTGTACATTGAATTAACCTAATGATAACATTTTTAATACAAAAACCCTTCTCTAGCTAAAGAAAGATGAAATCCTTTTTTTTTAACTGCATTTAGTATTTACATATATGAATTTACTTTTCTAACACATTTCATCGCATGCAAGTTGGATTTAGTTTCTCGTCAAGGACCTAACACATACAATATTCTGGTAAATACATGATAGTCAAACTTGAATAGAGCACATCTACGTGCTCTGGTTCCATAATAAACAATTTCTTAATGTTTAATCTTTTGATAAAGTAGTTCAATATGTATGTATCATTCTAAGGTAGGACAGTTTTGCATTTACACACACTAAGATTGTTTAATCAAATCACGATATTTTAGATTCGCACCAATAAAATCACGATACCTCGAACATCCAATCCTTCCGTTCATCTACTATGTTTCTCTCCCTTATCCGTTCGACATCTGAAGTGTCATAATTTGATTGATTCGAAATTAGAATTGTTGTGATTTAAATAAACTGTTATACGTACTATGTGTCCATATAAAACGGATCCACCGAAGAATTTATTAAAACATGTTTCCACGCCACCTAAGGAGTTCATATAAAATTTAATCATATAAGTGCTTTCCAATTAAACCAATTACTTTATCTTTACGAAATCACGAGTTCATTATTAGAACACCTAATCCACTTACAATCTTAGTGATTTCACACATGAAGGTAAAAAAACAGATAACATAAACAAATCTTTTTCGAGGCATTAAAAAATTGTACTCAAATATCAAAATTTCCATAATGTAATTGAAGTTTAGCAAAGCTATTTAGCATCTGTTTGGTAGGGATTAAAATCAGATTCTTAATAAATTTTGATAAATGTTGACGTAATGCAAGATAGAAAAGTTGTGAATCTCATGAAATGTGGTAGAAATTAATTGTTGACTTTAACTTAAATTAAAATTTAGATTTAATCTCTACCAAATAGGGATTTAGAGTGAAATATTATCTCATTTAAAAAGAAGAAGAAGGTAATTTAGAATATAAGTGTAAACTCTTAAAATATTAAAATTCATAATATTTTACATGTCCTCAATACTAGTTATTTCTTGGCCACTCGATATGTGTATATACGAAAAAGAACTTTAAATTTTTTCCCCATAAATAAGAACATTTTACTACGAATAAATTTTGTAGGGAAAACATAAAATTCTTATAGTGTATATAATTAATTGGTCTTAAAATTTTTCAAAAGGAAAACAACTCCATTTTTTTTATTCAGATGGAAGCTAGGGATTTCGATTCAATTAAGATGATTTTTGTACAAATATATTAAGATTTAAATTCCATTTTAAAACGATAACCTTGTTAAGAGGTTTAACTCAAACCCTTATATGATATTTAATCTTTATTTGATGTGAATTTATCTATTAAAGTACTATTGCAAGATGGTGGTTTGTTTGAGCATATCACGTGCTCGTTTGAATTTTGATTGGATTAATTACTCATTTGAATTTAATAATCTGTAATACCATGACAGAGTTAAGGTAGTGGAAGTAATTTAAGAACAATGCTAAAAGAAACAAGAGATGAGGGAAGGTGTGGTGGCCGCAGCCACGTTTTCGCTATTAGAGGTGCTATCGGCCATGGGCTCAGATACCGTATTTAGATTTGTAATTCTATCTTTAAAAGTTCATGATTAATCTAAATCTTTACATGATGATTATTTATTTAGGGCCTGTCTGATAACAATTTTTTAAATCAAAAAATCGGTTTGTGTACCATTTTTTTCCACACCTTGGGCCCCACCATGAGACAACACAGTCAAACATTTACGTTATATAGTGCATACAACTGTCTGAATTATGCTTAAAATTTTTACCAGGCACAACCTTAATCTTTATTCGATGTGGATTTATCTCTGAACAAAAAATTTCCACTTTCTTCTTATAAAATTCTTTTTCAAATATATTGCTGTAGTTTGAATTGAACTATTAATCAGAATTATTGGCAAATAATAAAATGCGCTTTGATGAAATTCATTTCATACTAAGACATTTTGCGGAGATTAAAATCAATTTTTTAATATTTTTTTGATAAAAATTGATAAAATATATGATTGAAATGTTATGGGTCCCATAAAATATGTGATAAAATTAATTGTTGACTTTGACTAAATTAAAATCTACCAAACATGGACTAAATATTTGATCCCAAAATTAAGTTAAGTTGGGTTCGCTTTCCTAATGATATATTATAAAGAGAAGACCATAAACACACGTTTATTACAAGGTGCTGATGTCAATTGCTGACGAAAATAAGCCTTTCCTAGAAATCGTCATCTTAATTGCTTAATTAAAATCAACCTCTTGTAATCAAATAATTGAATTAAAAAATGACAAGCACATGGATAAAAGGTCAATGACTATAAATTAGGAACCATTTGATATAAATTTTACAGCATGATATATAAATAAAAAATGACTCGACTAAAAAAATTAATAAAATATGACTCTCTCATGAACCTAGTACCTGTCAGTATCTATTAAGAATTCCACTATTTCAGCGTGAGAAATATTTTATTTTAAATTAATTAATTATGCAACACGCGGATAATTTCCCAGTTCATTAATTGCTTGTCTAGTGTTAGTTGCAGCCAAACAATTAATAGTTCAGTCATTTGATATTAACCTTTTTTTAAGGAAACTTATAATAAACTTTATAAGCTATGCCAACTTGCAATAATATTATGTAGTACGAATACTTCTCTGAATATCAATTATTTAAGTACGAATACTACTTCTAAAGGGAGAAAAGTATTGAGACGACCCTTAAATTTGGGTATTTTTCTTTTGTCCAATACCCCTAAAGAAAGGTAGAAGTAAATGGGCCGGTAGCTAAAAGGAAGTCCTCGCTTTCTCTTTTTCAAGGCTGCAACCCAATATGTTTTAGCAAAATCTTTGATAGCATCGATACTCATAAAAGGGGTATTAGACAAAATAATTTAGTCTCCGTTTGACAAATTAATAAATAATTTACAAATAGAAATAATAAGAGGAATAGTAGTAGCTTCCACGAAACATGTAAAAGTAGTAGTTATGAATGTTGATCGAAATTAATGTTTAATTTTAACTGAATTTATAAATCATATCTAATCGGAGGCTTAAACCCTTTGTATTCAACATAGAACCAGAATCGGTAAAAGATACTTGTAAGATTCTTTTTAGCTATTTATCAAAACTAATTAGTGTCATATACGAGTGGAAGCGAAATTAGAATATTTGAAACAAGAAAAAAGTTAAAAAATTAGAAAATTTGTAGAGAATAATTTTATTATGTTAAATTGATTAAAATTAATTACTGAAAAATGTACAGAGTCTTTGTTTATATGCAAAATGATTTTTTAATCTTACTAATATAAGGAAACTAAACTAAAATCTTAAAAGAAAAGAAAACTAAAATCCTAATATAAAAGAAGTAGAAATCCTAATCTAATCAAGAAGAATAAGAAAAAGAGAAAAAACTATTCATTTGAATTAGAGATTCTCTAGCATTTGAAAAAGAACTCGTCGTCTAGTTTGGTTGAAGAAAGAAAATCAATCAATTGGTATGAAAATATTCAAAAGTTTCCACCAAGTCGCATATTGAACAAATGTCTGTCTTTTTATTTCCACAATTGCATTGAATGGCATCAATTTTGCTCATACATTGCTCATCTTCTCATCCTTACCAAGTCACATATTGAACAAATGTCCATGTCTTTATTCTCCACAATTGCATTGAATGACATCAATTTTGCTCATACATTGCTCATCTTCTCATCCTTACGGACATTTCCTATGTGGCATTTCTTTAGAAACAATATTTTATTCAATTTCTCATTCTTGAATCTCCTTGGTGCACATATGAACATTGGAATTTTCAATTCTTTATGCTTTTCATGTTTTTTTTTTCAATTATATTGATATCATATTCAATGCTACAATTCTTTCACTATTTTCCTCGTGCTTATACAACTCTTTGGGATTCAGGTCGCAGAGAATGTCAACTAAACTCATGTTCTCAATTTGACAAGCCTCACATTTGATTCCTTCTTAATTTGGAAAGTTAATTTCCCACTTTTCGATTGGACTCATTTGAACTTAAACTTGTTCATTGATCATTTGATTTCCTGCAAGTGAATAAGATCGTGAACAAGTAATAAAGTAGTGAATATAGTGTTGAACCTATAAGGATTATGTATTTGATCGAGTTAAAATTAATTGCAACTTTAATCGAATAACAAATAGATTTTGTGATTTTTATATACTAATACCTAAATATCAATTAAACTAATGAAAGTAAGTAAATGTGTTTTTCATATGTGTGAGATGCATTGCTAAAATGTCGAATCCTCCTTATTATTCCATTTTTAGTGCAACAATTAAAATGATAATTTGAAATCATTTATATTGGTCAATATTCCTAATTTAATTGAAAGCATATCTCGATAGCGATCAAATCTATTCCCCTCATGTGACCCTTCTATCTCTCGATGAAAGATGCAAACATGATAAATGCATTAACAAGTATAGAACATCTATTGAAATCATATAAAGTATAGAAGTATATCTCTATCCTCTATTGAACTTTACAATGTTTATTATAATGTGCTTAACCCTATTGTCTCTCTCGATAACAATAAAATCCACTAACAATTCAATTGATGATTAAGCAATTGAAAAGAATAATAAAAACGATAATAAACATCCATAAATATAACATAT